GGGCAGAGAGTGTCCTGCTGACCACTCCGCCTGCCCTGGTCAGCAGCCGCTCCCCTTCCCTCTCCGTGCCCCAGCTGTGGGGGTTGGGGGCACAGCAGATGCCGCCTGGCTTCCTCCACTGGCCACTCTTCCCAGTGCCCCGCGGCCAGCCCCGCGGCCCCTCGGGTCTCAGCGGAGGCACCATTTCCTCAGCTCAGCCCTCACGGCCCCCAGGCCTGGCCCCCCACATTGAAGGTCCTCGCCCACCAGGACGGAGGCCCCGGGCGGTGGGCCTGGGAGGCCTGAGGCTTCGGCTGAGCCCGAAGGGGGTGCCTAGCACAGGGCACAGCTCGGGCGGAGGTGTGGAAGGGAAGCCAGTAGCGGCGCCTCCTTCCAGGCCTTCCTGACCAAGATCTGGTGGGGGGACATGGCCTCGGGCACGCCTGTCCTGCGGCTGCTGGGCGCCTTCCTGTGCCCCGCCCTCCTGTACACCAGCCTCATCGCCTTCAGGTCTGTCGGGATCGAGGGGCGGCCGCTGCCTGCAGAGCCGCTGGGGCTGGGGCTCGGGTCCAGCATCCACGTGGGTCCCACAGTGCCCACCCCACCTGCATGCCTTCTCCGTGCACCCCACGTCCTTGCTGGCTGGGCGCCTCTAGGTGCCCCTCCCATGGGCCCTGAGTGTGCCCTGTGCCTGCAGCGAGGAGTCCCCACTGAAGACGGGTCAGGAGGACCTGCAGGAGCTGGACAGCCTGGACACTGAGAAGAGCCTGCTCTGCAGCCCGGGTGGCCAGTAAGGCCTTGGGGCGGGTGAGGTGGGCGGAGGGGTCCGGAGGGCAGCATCCTGGGCAGAGTGGGCACCGGCACTGCCTCATGCTGTGGCCTCCTTTGTGGCGCAGGGCGGAGGAGCTGGCGGAGGCGCGGAGGACTCGGGGTGCCCGGGGCCCCCGGGCGGCCTTCCTGCTCGCGCGCTGGCGGCAGTTCTGGGGCGCCCCCGTGACCGTGTTCCTGGGCAACGTGGTCATGTACTTCGCCTTCCTCTTCCTGTTCGCCTACGTGCTGCTGGTGGACTTCAGGCCCCCTCCCCAGGGGCCGTCAGGGCCTGAGGTCACCCTTTACTTCTGGGTCTTTACCCTGGTGCTGGAGGAGATCCGGCAGGTCAGTGGCGAGCCCTGATCCCGGCCCCTGAACCCCGACCCCACTCCAGGCTGACCCCAAGCCCTGGTGCGGGGGCGTCTGCAGGGGGTGGGGGGCCCAGGCAGCTGTGGGACCCTCTGCCCTCTGCCAGGGCTTCTTCACCGACGAGGACACCCGCCTGATGAGCAAGTTCACGCTGTACGTGGAGGACAACTGGAACAAGTGTGACATGGTGGCCATCTTCCTGTTCCTCGTCGGCGTCACCTGCAGGTCTGCGGGGCCCAGGGGGGCGGCCACGTCAGGTGGAGCGCTCGGGCTCGGGAGCCCTGCTTGTCCCGGCACTGCCGTGTCCCGGGAGCCCCCGGCCCCCTCTGGCCAGCAGCCCTCACAGCCGCCGTCCCCAGGATGCTGCCCTCGGTGTTCGAGGCGGGGCGCACGGTCCTCGCCATAGACTTCATGGTGTTCACGCTTCGCCTCATCCACATCTTTGCCATCCACAAGCAGCTGGGCCCCAAGATCATCATTGTGGAGCGAATGGTGAGCCCCCTGGCCGGGCCCGACCCCGAGGGTGGCGACCCCCTGACCTGGGCCCCGGCCCCGAGGATGGCGACCCCCTGACCTGGGCCCCGACCCCGAGGGTGGCGACCCCCTGACCTGGGCCCCGACCCCGAGGGTGGCGACCCCCTGACCTGGGCCCCGACCCCGAGGGTGGCGACCCCCTGACCTGGGCCCCGACCCCGAGGGTGGCGACCCCCTGACCTGGGCCCCGACCCCGAGGGTGGCGACCCCCTGACCTGGGCCCCGACCCCGAGGGTGGCGACCCCCTGACCTGGGCCCCGACCCCGAGGGTGGCGACCCCCTGACCTGGGCCCCGACCCCGAGGGTGGCGACCCCCTGACCTGGGCCCCGACCCCGAGGGTGGCGACCCCCTGACCTGGGCCCCGACCCCGAGGGTGGCGACCCCCTGACCTGGGCCCCGACCCCGAGGGTGGCGACCCCGACCTGGGCCCTGACCCCGAGGGTGGCGACCCCTGACCGCTGTCCATGCCCCTCCCCACCCCAGATGAAGGACGTCTTCTTCTTCCTCTTCTTCCTGAGCGTGTGGCTCGTGGCCTACGGCGTGGCCTCCCAGGCGCTGCTGCACCCACACGACAGCCGCCTGGAGTGGCTGTTCCGCCGCGTGCTCTACCGGCCCTACCTGCAGATCTTCGGGCAGATCCCCCTGGACGAGATCGATGGTCAGCACCAGGGGGTGGGTCGGGGGGGCTCCGTGAGGCTTCAGTGGGACCCGGGGGGTGCGTTACCAGGTTCCTCCTGAGGCCCTGGACAGGTGGCCCTTGAGACGCCCGCCTGGAGCTGGCCAAGAGCGGGAGTCCCCGAGCCAGCCCCCAGACCCCACACACTGCACAGGCCGCAGAGCCCCGACCCGACCTCGGGCCTGGGGCTGGAGACTGGGACGCGAGGAAGCCTCGAGGTGGCCGGGGCTGGTCTGACGGGGGCTGCCCTGCTCTGGGGTGGTCCGTGCCAGGTGCAGGGAGGGACAGGTGTTGTGCACGCAGTGGGGTCACCCCAGTTGTCCCTGACCACTGCCTGGAGTCTGGGCCCCCTGGACGGCCCCACCCCCCTGGGCCTCCACGCTCCTGCACGACCCTGCTGGGCAGTGGGTCTCCTGTCACCTCCTCGCCCGGCCCGGGGCCGCCTTCTTCAAAGGCCTCTGCTGCCAGGTCACCCCTGAGGCACCCTCACTGCTCCCAGGGCACTCAGTGTGCACCTTCCCTACTTCAGCTGTGTGGCCTGAGGGCACCATGTCCCCAAGCTGGCCCCTGTACCTAGCATAGGGCTGGTGGAGGCTCCAAGAATTTCCCACGATAGGTACCGCGTGGGGGCAGGGTCAGTGAGGAGGAGGAGGGGAAGGGGGCTGGCCCCTGGACGAAGGTGGGCCAGCAGCCGGGTGCCAGCGCAGGGCCCAGGGCAGCAGCCCCTCGGGACACTCCTGGGCACAGAGCAGGGCGGGGCCACATGCAATCGTGGGCACACTGGGTCACCGAGGCCTGACCCTGACCTTCGCAGCTAATGAGGCGAAACCTGGGGTAAATATTTGCCAAGGGGATGACGTGTGATTGAGGCAAACGGGCTGGCGGGGGCTGCGCCGCATGGAAATCCCTCCCACAGGGGCGTCTGGAGAGGCCCATCTCCGGAGGCTGTTTTCTTAGTCCCCCCCACACACTGTACCGTCTCCGTGTTTGCTCACCCGGGACCTAGTTTTCCAGGCCATTAGTTAACCAGACCCCGCTGCCCCCACCAAATGGCCCCGCTGGGGACGGCGCCACAACCCTCAGACAGGGGGAAATAAAGGGGCTCCTCCAGCGCGGGTGGGAAACTTCAGCCCCCATGCCCACATCCCTACCCAGCCAGCCCCAGCCCCAGCTGGTATATGGGGAACAGTGGTGTGGGGTAGGGTCCTCTGGGGAGGGCAGAGAGCGTGCAGACTCCCCAAGGGTCTGCACCCTCAGTAAGGCCTGAACTGCCACCCTAGCTGGAAGGGCAACGTCCTGCAGCAGAGGGCCTGGGACCAGGGCTGGGCCAGGGTCAGCACCCCCAGACCGGCCTCGGGCTTAAACCCTGGCCACTCCCCGTGAGCCTATCAGGCTGTGAGGTGGAGTGATTCACTAACATGCAGCCGAGAGGGAAACTGAGGCTCGGGAGGCCCCAGCCTTTGTGTCCTGGGCCAGGCAGGTGGGAGCCTGGGGCTGAGCTGTGACAGCAAAGCTCCTTCTCCGGGCTCCAGGCCCTGGGGACAATTTAATTTGCAGCCCAGCCTGGTGGCGCCTCAGAGAGGCAGTCAGGGGGGCTCCGGGGTCTCATTACCGCAGAGCCGCTTTCATCAGACAGATTTACAGCTTCCCAAAAGCGCCATCGGGGCTGCCAGGCCCCCCTCTCAGAACCGGGG